TGATTTGATTTCGCTTTTTATATTGTAGCCGTATCCGTTGCGCCCCTCCTCCGAACCCCACGCCAAATGAACTCTAAAACGCTGTTGATTGCGTATTGAGTTACTGAGAATAGCAGCACTGACGGCACATTAATAGAATGCGAAATCATGTTTACAACTTGATTGAACTCATCAGCAACGGGCCATCAGTCAGACCTTCTCCAGTCAGACCTCCAGTCAGCCGGTGGCAGTACCAATGTAGCGTTGTCTCCAGACATGCAATTCCATTTATAAGTATCGACATTTGCAACAGCGCCTAGATCTGATTTCTCGGCTCTACACTACACTGCCGCTGCCTCCAACCACTTGTTCAGGGGCACGTGTGCTGGGAGTTTAACTTTAATTGATTGCATTAGTATTCAATTACGTCTTGTTCGCCTCCATTTTCCCATCTACGGCTCCCTTTCTTATGCTTATACTTAGACCATTAATAATCAGATTAGTGCGGCAGAAATGCTAGTTTGGCCAGAGATGATTGTCTCTCGGTCCTCAGCCGCTAAGTCATCATTTTTATATATAATTTCCAATTATCATAATACGCTTTGTGAAGAACCAGCAGAGAGGCAGAGAGAAAGAGAGGGAGCAAATGGAAAGCTAAGTCTGAATGGATACATACCCACACAAGAAATGGCAAAAAGAATCTGAGACACCTCCAGAGGGTTCTTGCAAAAGAAGATGTAACAGGTGTATCGGTTTGTGCTCTGGGCCATTAGCTGTCTATGCCTGCAGGCTGAGCCGAATTTCTCTTCTGGCTCTTCTACCCTTTCACCCCACTACTCACCAACTTCTACTCAATTAGTTTTTCATTTTGGTCAATTATATTTGGACGCCTACTATGATTGAATCCGTCTGGATGTGACCCAGAGCTTCTTCTGCCTCAGCAGTCAAAGGCTGGCCTGACCCCAAGGCTCTCGAATCAATTCAGGCATTTGCCACACTTTGGCCTTGGGCTCTGGGCTAATTTGATTGATTGTCGTGTGGGGGGGCATGAACATCCTTCCATATGGCTTCACTGTCCTTTTTGCAGCATCATAGCATTTTTATTGGTGCCCTTTTTTTTGGCGAAGTTGCGAAATTATCATTTGGCTAATAAATTAAAACGCTTTATTCACGATTTGTGTCTTCTTTGCAGCTGCTTAAATATAAATAACACTCATTATGCAGGGCTCAAATAAATACAGTATGTGTGTTAGTGTGCCTCTGCCTCGAGGACACATGTGGCATACAAAAGAGCCACAGCCACGGCCATGGTGACAGTGGGCGCTCTGTGGCACGTAGCCGGAACCACCCACTTTGTCGAGTGTCTGTCTGTGTCTGTGGTGCGTTTTGGACTGGGCAGAGTGCTGCTCTGCGACTTGCGAATTGCTGTGCCCGCAAGAAAAATGTACTCCTAAATCTATGTAAAGTCGTGGGGGGAGACTTGCCTGGCCTTGGTGGCACGTTGCAAGGCACGTGTTGGCCTCCACAAAGCGTACTCCAGCCTAGCACTTAGCCAGAAGCCACCACAGACGGAGCGTGAAGTTGGCAAAATATGCAATATTATTGTACTCTCATTTATGTAAATGTAACAAACTTAACTTCATAAGTATATCACAGTGAGAAATGGCGGCTTTTTCCCGCGGTGTACTCGTCATAAAGTCACTTTTGAAGGGGCATGCCACTCGACCGCAGCTAATTAATAACGCATTAAGCCGTACGGTACGACCACTGCCATTTCGCTGTCCAGTCCCATATCAAGTGTCCTGTCCGTGCAAATTGTATATGCTTTTCTGTGCTTCTCAGTGCTAATTAAGCGATTTGCTTGACTTGCACTCAATTAGAGGGCCACATCCGCATCCATTCCCTTCGACATGCAATTAGCCAAGCGGATTTTAAATTGCGTCTTAGCCTCAGCCTCAATTTGAGCTGGGTGTGGGAGCACTCCGTTCAATTCATTTGCTCATTTGTCATTTGGCTGGGCAGGGCAGGTGTAAATGCGTTAAAATTCAGTCAAAATCTCATAAAAGTTTAACAAAGCTGAAGCGAAAGGTAAACAGACTTGAGGAAAATTGCTGGCAATTACATTATTATTTGCATTCGGGGAGCTCCCCCAGCCTCAAGGAAAACTTCGAGTGCCCTAAGTGGTTATGGTTCCGGGTAAGACGTGGCCTCTTTCTTATTGAGAAAAATCTTTGACAGTGTCCGAGAATATAAGGGCCATTGCCGGGCTGTTCTCTGGAGTGTGTTTTGTATTGGCGAGGGATCGAAGCGGCGGTGCGCGTGGCACGGCCTTGGGTATCCATCATTTTTCGACCGTAGTTTCCGTTTCCGCATTTCGTTGGCCGCTCTCCCAACCATTTCCCTCCGGTAGGTGTGAATGTGTACGCGCTCCTCTCCTCCCCCCTCGGGCGTGTGGGTTTAAACTTTTCATAAACCTTAAGTGGAAAACTTTTATTTTATCCCTGTTCCTTATCGTCTGCCCCAAATGCTATTGTGGCTGTCGCTGCTGCTTAGGCCACGCCACCTATTTGATTCAGTCGTCCTGGTCGTCTGCCCCGGAAATGGCACAATATGTAGGCCCGGCGTAAAGTCACGTAAGGCGAAAGTTTCCCGAAATCATTTTAACGCCTTCTGAATTTTTTCACGATAACTTTTCCTCTCACAGGCGGAAGCTTCAGCCCTCTGAAAGAAGGCAATAAAAATTGTCAAACAAATAAATATTTGTGGTTGGTCACACGGGGTGGACGGGGTGCTTGCTGCATCAATAGCTGTGGGGATTTAATTTTCATCTCAAATGGAAAACATTTGTTTCATTGTTTTTCATCATCCGTCGAATGCGAAAGTTGAAAGTTTTAATAATATTTAAACAACACAGCTCTAGTAAATCCTTTTTTTGTGGTGCAAAAAAAAAGGTGATGCAAAAAAAGTTGTTGTGTTGTTCTTTAATATTAATTTCTATGTACATAAATTTAGTTGTTCGCGTTGATGTTTCTGGCAACATTTTCGACAGGCTTCACTGCATTTTAATGTCAAACTGTGGACGTGGCTCACCCAGTCCGGTATCCAGCCAGGATGTCGGCTTAAGTACTCTGCAGCCCAAAAAGAAAAGATGATCCATTAACAGACGACTTGTGGTACTTGGGTATCTTTTTTTGGCATGGAAAAGTAATCTTGAGACTGGTAAAATTTAATTTGAATTGGAAAATTTACACAGACACTAAATACATCGGTTTAATCAAAAAATCATAAAGTGCATTCGCTGATTCGTTGAGCCCCAGAGATTTGCACTCCTTTCATTATTCCCCTTTGCTTTTTTAAATGTTTAATTTATTTATGTATGTATGTTGCTTTTTAAATGTATTTTGTTGATGTCGCTGAAAGTGGTGCTAGTCATGAATGGGTGGACAGTCTGGAGGTGGTAGCCGGAGGTTCGTCCTTGCCGAACGCTGGACATGTGCATATTTCATGACAAAATTGCATATTTTAGCGCACAGCCAGAGTGAGAGTCAGAGCCATGGCCGATGGTGCAGCTTCGGGTGGATTTTTCCGGCCATCACTCAACTCCTGCTCCCTTTGCTGCTACTACTCGTTTTTGGTGTAAATTTCAAGCCAAGAGTAACACCTTTTTCCTGTCATGATGTTTTTAGTGGTTTTGCTATTGTTTGTGTCTGCTAGCCCTTTTTTTCCCACCCATTTTACTGACGTTTTTTTATCCCACAAAATTTACATACATCATAGTCATTGGAGTTCAGGGCATTTTGATGACTGAAGTTTAAATTTTTTTAGCCGCAAATTTAAAGAAAATAAAATGTTAAAAAAATGTTGTCTGATTTTTGTCGGAAGCGACTTTCAATTTTCCCAGCGACTAACAAAACGAGTTGTTTCCCCACTGTATTTTCCAGCTTTTTGTGTTCTCCCCATCGGCTGTTCCGTGTTTGTTTAGTGAGATTGATTTGATTTGGGCTGCCCAATGCACTGGGGGAACATGCTCAATAAAATTTATTTGTGGCTTTCCCAATATTTAAAGCTTGTTTTACTTGAAGCGCTGGATCATGCTCTGCAGATGCTTCTTAACCTTGAACACACTCGCATAGAGATCTCCATTAATACCGCCATCCACGCAGCGTGGTCCGTAGATGTTGATGCCGCAGAGCCGCTCCTCGTGCACCAGCGGATCCCCCATGGTCGTCTGACAATCCTTACGCTTGTTCGAGTTGTGGGAACAGAACATGTTCTCTGTGATGTAGGCCGCATCTATGCTGGCAAAGGTATTCTTACATATCCGATTGGAGACGATACGGGTGCGCAGGTAGCGCGGAAGCTGCTTCGACATGTACATGATGACATTGTCCCCCCGCTTGGGTGGAACATCACAAAGTTCCACCGGCTGTGCTTCGCGTTCCTCGACGGATATCCTCAGCACCATCAGAGCCATATAGCGGTCCAGATCGGAGGAAGGGCCCATAACTATGGTGTCCAAATTATACATTGCACTCGAGGCTACCTGCACCATATACTGTTCCGGCATTGGGGCTCGATTGGCTGGAAAACACTGCGCAGAGGTCAGAACTAGGCGGCGGGAGATTAGGGCTCCAGTGCAGATTAATCCCATCATCGGGTAAATCTTAACTATGAAATTAGTGGTAACCGTTGGCTTGGGTGTAGTCACAAACTGATTCTCAATGTGTGGTGCAATGATCTCCAGGCTGTCCTCCGCATCTGTGGCCTCTCTATTTTTAACTGGTGGTTCGTAGGGATGCGGCACCACGTACTCGATGATGCGCACTATCTGGTAGGGCTCTCCTTTGGCCGGCACCTCACCCACCATAAACTGAGGAATGGGTTTGGCAGACTGATTGACTGTCACTGAGGTCCAGAATAGTACGAGCAGCAGGCGTATCAGCAGCATAATGATCAGAATACTGACCCATTCGTAACCCAAAGATTAAAGGGCTACAAAAATATATTATGGCATTTAAATTGCAATTTCTCACGATTTAATCTCTCAGCTTCTGTATGAATTGTGTAAGTAAAGTTCGATGTTTGGCCAGATCAATGTAGAGATCGGCGTTTGGGGCGTTTGCCCGACAGCGGGATCCATAGACATTCAATCCGCACAAGCGACGATCCACCAATAACGCATCTCCCTGCTCTGTGACGCACTTCTCTGGATTTTGTGAGTTCCGCAGGCAAAGCATATTGGGGGTGATGTAGACGGTCTCGTCTTGGAGAAAGGTCATCTTACATTCCCGGTTAGAGACGACCTGACTGTGCCTTAGTCCAAAGTAGCTAAGGTCGGAGCTGGTCATCAGCATGGTGGCATTGCCGAACAACTTTGGGGCCTGAGAGCACAGACCAATGGGCTGTCCCGCGGCGGCAGTTCCCAGGGTGATTAGATATAGTTCGCGGCAGGATCGTGGCCATTCAATATTAGCCACTGGATGAGTTGTCCCTAGGCTGGTGAGAATCTGCACCTGACTGGAAGGAACTCCACTTAAGCAGCTGCCGGAGCTGATAACTAGCCGTGGCGCCAACAGAGCTCCACTGCATAGAACGGAGTCTTGAACCTTTATCTTTACAATGAAGGTGTAATCCTCTGATTGTGAGTCGTGCTTCGTCCTGAAAGCGCCGTGCTGCAGTTGCGCCAAGCTGAGGCGTTTGTAGTGATTGATAACGCGCACGATCTGCTGATTCGCGGGAATCTGATGGGTTGTTGCACCTGCCACTGTTGGATAGATCACATTCATCCTGCAATCCTTGCAGTTTGGTATCCCAGAAGCAGAAACCCATCCGCGGGACAGCCAAAGCCCCAGAAGACAAACAACTAACGAATGCATCGTCCATCGAGTGGCGATGGCTGCCAGCTTACCTTTATTTATGGCACATTTGATGCGCCTGTCAAAGCCGGAAGCATCGCTTCGGTCCGCACGCCGACTGCGTAATCAAAATGTTTTGCCAAGCAAACTGCAAACATGAACGACAGCCAGTTGACAGTTGGAACAGGCAGCCTGTTGACCGGGTGTCGTATCTAATGACCAAACACGCGCCAAACAAATAAACAGGCCAAGTGCAATGCGATAGCTTTTGACGCCACTTCATTGGAAGTTGGCAAGTAAAAGGTCATCTAGAAAAAAACTTTGATAAACTTTCATACTGCGAAAACAAAATGCTCAACACACACCAAACAGACAAAGTCTTCAGTCAATAATAGAGGAGAGCATGAGTTAAAGATTTATAAGGCATTTCTTCTAGAATGAACTCTTAATAAAAGGATTACCAACAGTGGAGAGATGAGATGGGATTTGTATGTAAATTAAAATTAATTCAGCGGAATTTCTACCTTTAATAAACACGATTGACATGGACTCTCTAGCTGTCAGAAGGTCTGACATCTGACTGTCAATCTTATCTAGATTTCAAAGAACTCTCAACTTTAAGACCATTTAACATTAATGCATTTTTTTTTAATCTAAGGACAGAATGTGCTTAGTGATTCTGTAAGGAATTGCAACCCCTTACTGCGCTCTGAGGATATCAATCTAAGTATACTCCCATCACTTGTATTTCCCCTTGTTGTGAGCGTCTTTCTAGAAATTTGAAAATTGTTTTTGTGCATTTCAGTAAATTAAGAAGAATGTTGGCTGCGTCTAGGGCTGGACCGTTGGACCGTTGGACCGATGGACCAGTGACCGCCTCTGCTCATTTGCAGAATTTATGGCTGGCGCTTAAACTGAATTGACAATCAATGGTCTCTGGGAGATGGTGGCATGGGTTTTGGTGGCCTAGGATACACCCAGCAGAGGAGACGAGAGGCCGGAGGCTGGCCAGGGACAGAGATAGGGACAGAGCTCATAAACAATGCGGCCAATTTACATGCCCAGGGATCGACCGCATGTGTGTGTGTGTGTGTGTGTGTGTGTGAGACCTTGCTGTTGCTTTTATTGTTGTCGTTGGAAATGAAAAATTGTCCCTTTGTTGCATATAAAAACAATGGGGCCGAAGAACTTGAAATCAATTTCAAACGTTTTAGGCAAAGCCAATTGATTTATTTGCTGTGTGACTCCAGCTCTCTCTCTCTCTCGATCTCTTGTGTGTGATTGTATGGGTAGAGTGTGTGTGCGTATTGTTCGTATTTGTATTTGTGTGTGTGTGTGGAAGAGGCCATTGTTTTGTATTACTTTTTCCTTGAATAAAGCCCCTAAGAGCTTACGCTGCCAGGTCTTTGAAATGTGGCACCATTTCCGACCTCGCTCTCTCTTTTTTGTTGTGTGTTGTTTGGTGTGTGTGTGTGTGTGTGTGTGAGTTTTTCGAAAACTTAAAGCTTGACCCAAAACAATTAACACTGAGTGCCAAAAGTCAAGGGCTGCCTGCACAACTCTCTCTATTTTTTAGACTTACACTTGATAAACTTTTTATTGCTTCCAAACAATTTAAAACTGAGAGCTGGCTGAATTACAATAATGCGAACAGAGCGAAGAGTCGGCCAATTGGCAAGACAAACTGCTGCAGCTGTTCGAAGTCAACGACGAACTCGGAGACAGTATGTGAGGGCCACTGGACAGAGACAGAGACCGAGATGGAGACAAAATTCGAATTGGTAATTGAATAAAAACAACGAGCAACGATGCGACGGAGCAAACAAGTCTCCAAAGGAGAGGCGGTGGGTGGATCCAGTGGAAGCTTCAGCTTTATATAACACTGGATACCCTCTTGAGGTTTCACTGCGTTTGATTGTCCGCTCTCTGACACATATCGCAATGCATTGGAGCATGAAATAAATGAAGAGGCCAGGCCAACTTCCCATGTGAATCCCGCTGCCTCCCACTCGCAAGGTCTTGAAACCAAAGTCAGAACCCACTTCCTGATGGTCTTTGGACATTTTTACGCCTTTTATACAGTTGACTGCATAAATTCATGGGATATGGTTACGCATTTTAAACAAACCTTCCCCAAGCTTCTGACGCAGAGTATTGAATTGGGTTTCGAGTGGGAGGGGTGTCTCGGTGTCTGCCAGCAGATCTTTGTCTCTCATCCAGATGAAAAGAATTGGCAAACACTGGCCCAATCTTTATCTAAGGGAGTCTAAACATATTGTTTGTAGATAGCCTGTAGATAGCTGCAGCTTAAAGCTGAATCCATGACACCGAGGGGAATGGGAATGGGATGGCATTCCACTTGTTGCCTTGTTGCTGGGAAAGTTTCTTTTTTGGCCCTGGAGTCCTGCCTCATTATTGCGAAATGTTTTGGGCCAAGCATCAGTTTCAAGTTTGATTTGTTTGCACATGAGCTTTTGACGGCAACGAAGGGATAGGGATGGGGGATGAGACTGTTGTGCTGGCAGCTAACAAGTTGCAAATTAAGCTAAAACAAGGGAGGAAAGAAGGCTGTCATAGGGGATGAAGGTTTTAATACCCTTTCAGGTTTAATGTTGCCATGGCAGCTATTCAACTGAGTTTTAAACATTCTCTGGTTGACTTTTGCCTAAATTTATCATTAAAATAAACAGGTTTCCATCTACCTTTCTAGCTATACGATAAAGTTACACTTATTACCACAAATTAAGGCTTCTCGTGCATACAGTTGCAAACTTATAATCAAAATCGTAATACCCACTGCAGGGGTATGCTCAGTGTGTGTGTTTGTATTTTTGGCAAAAGTGCAAGGGTGTATAGCATCCACACACACACACACACACATCAACGTTTACAAATACATGCATGTAAACGAGCATAAAAACCGCACAGCCAAACGTACTAACAAGCAACAGTAATCAGTGTGGCAGCAGCAAAAGTTGAGGAGTCGCCCGTAGCATGAGGGTGGCGACTAGAGGGAGTTGCATAGAGAGGAAATTGCATTGCATAGGAGTTGAAACAATAGCTTCGAGGAGTCTGCTGGCACAGGCTGCTGCTCATCATCATTCTCATCATCATTCCCGTCATCGTCATCCTCATGAAAGAGATGGAACACCAGCAAACACCAGCACCAACACCAACACCATCAACACTCCCCACCCACACAAAGGCTATTGACCCAATTTTTGGGGCAAACAATGGACCCGGAGAAAAGAAATCACAAAAGCAAACCCAAATCTCGGTTCCTAGCCAAAAACCACTTGACAATCCCGGCCAGGACACTGGACTCTGGCACTGGAGCTGGGGCTGGGGCAGTGTGCCAAATGTTTGGCTATGAGCAATGTGTTTACCACTGGACAGAGTAGAGTCGCCTCCGATGCCCCACGGCGCCCACTGATTTCCGCTTTCCCATTGGCAAGGCGACAGGCGACAAAACAAGTGAAAGTTTATTACATCTTCGCCAGTACCCCGCCAGCCACCGGAACGCATCCTCAGACAAGAGCAAAATCAATAAAATGCAATTGGAAGGCAAATGACCCATATAACCCTCAGTCCAAGTCCCCCAGAGCACAGCCCACGGCCCACAGTGGAAAACCAGAGCAGTTCATGGGCCAAGCCTGCGGCAAGGAGCAAGCAAGTAGCTTGCCAGCCTGCGGCTGAGCGTAATTGTGCCAAATTATAAATTATTTCGAATTTGCCATGGCGCAAACGGGACTCCAGAGGCTCCAGAGGATGAAAGGGGATACGACCCGCCATTGCCTGCAATTAATTTTGTGCAGCGCCAATTGAATGGAGAATGGATGGAGGTTATAGAGTGGTGTACAGAAGTGGAGTCGTGTAGCCGTGGAGCTGTGGATTTGTAGAGCTGTGAAGCCGTGGAGAGGGTTTGCCTCTAGGGCAGAGGCTAAGCGCATAATTTAAATTTCTAATTAACAGTCAAATAAATTGTGCCAGCTGCCAGCATCGTGGCTATTGAGCCGTGCCAAGTGATTTTATGGCTAAAATGCTCATTAAATTAACGGCAATTTGCTGCCACAGACAAATGCAAGGTGCAACGGGGCAACGGGGCAGCACGGAACTCGCCCTTTCATTTAGTTGTGGATCCATTTAGCCTCATTTTCTTTACCGATTGCATCGCCAGATTCGAAGCGTTTCGAGTTTATTTATTCAACTGTTTACAGCGCTTAAAGATGGCTTAGTCCCGCAATACAAATCTGTTTTCAATCTTGTGTCAAAGGAGCCTTCAAAGAGGGGTTCTATGGCTAATTAAAGCAGCGTATATGGAGCAATAATGTATGGTGCATGCACGCATATGGGCAATGTCAAAGTGCATTGACTGGATGGAGGAGCATTTCTTATCACTAAAGCATTGGTCTTGGCTATTATTATCCCGTTTTTTTCCTGCATGTTTATCGGGGCGTTTCGCCTCTATAGCTTTGGCACCAGCTGTGCGCTCAGCAAAAACATTCAATTAGTTTGATTTACACTTTTCAAAATGTTGCCACTCAGCCGTACCTCGCTCCCATCTAATCCGCTCCGCTCCGTCCATCCTCTGTGCCCTAAGCCCTCTGCTGCCTTTGTGCGACTGTTGGCATTTCCGTTTCCGCTGTTTAACAAGTGACTTTTGGCATTGGAGGCAACAACAACAACAACAACAGCAGGAGCAGCAGAAAAAGCAACGAAACGGGACTAGAGGGAGCATCACTGCCAAAACCGTGTACGCTCTTGCGTGCCAAAAAACTGCGACGCTTGCTGCCGCTCAAGGCACTTGCTCTGACTCCCAGCTCCTGCTACCAGTCCTGTTCCTGTTCCAGTTCCAGTTCTTATGCTGCTCCCTCATGCCATCGCCGTGGCCCCATCCCTTGAACGGAAACAGTTTGCTGCGCGCCTGGCTCAATATTAGTTTGGGGCGGCAGCAAAACGCTTCCGGCAGCCAAATGCTG